TTTGCATGTAATATTCTTCGATCATCGTAAACAGGAAGGGGGGGGGGGGTCATGTCTCAGCTATGGACATTCACGCTTAACTGATTACCTGAGTTAATTAAACAAGAACAAGGCACACATGTACAATCTTAAGCTGTAACTTTTGTTATTTTTAAAAAAATAATTAATTGTTGTAATTTATACATTTTTTATACAAGAGAAGATGTACATATATGAATGGGTAAGTTGATAAAGCACGCAATATTCAAGCCGATCAAGCACGCAATATTCAAGCCGACCAACATGTATTCTTTTATGTTCGATTGTTTGATTGATTGTTGTTTATTGTCCCTCTCGAGAATATTTCACTCATATGGAAACGCCACCACTTGTCAGTGGAGGGCTACAAATTTTGTCCTATGCTCGGCACTTAGGGCCTTTGAGCAGCGAGGAATCTTTTTCGTGCCAACACCTACTGCGACACGGGGCCTCGGTTTATACGGTCTCATCCGAAGGACTGGTCTCCACGTCCCGCAGTGGGATTCGAACCCGCGACGTAAGGATTGACTTCTTACTTCGCGACTCTAGAGCAGACGCTCTCACCATTTCGTCACGCAGGCGACCCTTTTTCTATGTTCGATAAATCCTTTATCATAGAATATAAGGCGATTTGATCATTGACTTAAGTATAATAGATTCAGATACATGTATTTATATCCTCCTACTTCCATATATCTTGAACAATTATAGGCATATAACCACGGATTATTATATTTTGCATAAGCGTCGGAACCCTGGGGGGAGGGGGTTAGGAGCGGATTAGCCCCCTTTTTTCCCTAAAGATATACTTAATATAGGCATTTGACATTGCTACGTAGGCTTAGCCCCCACCCCCATCCCACTTTCTATAGACATGTTGCAATATAGGCTTAAAATTGGGAAAGTTGAGTATTTGGAAAAAAAGGTTTGGAGTTCGAACCTACCCCCCCCCCCAACGTAATTGGATTTTCGTGTTTAACCAATGCACATTTCCTTTTATTCGTGTTTTAAGGTCTTTTTGAAGGTTTAAAAATTCCTTATACCTACCCCCCTCCCCCCACTTTCAATTTCCTTCCGACGCCAACGTTTTGAGCAGATTTGTACCATACTAATTTTACATTTAACTGCCAATACATGTACATGTTCAATGCAACTTTTGCAGGAAAAATTTCTAAACATTGTAAAAGTTTGTTACATGTTTACATTTAATAAATTACGTGTAATTGGTAGCAAATTTTAATAATTTGAAAAGCATATACATATTCATTTAATTGCGATTCAACAGAGGGAAACAAGATTATTATTTTCCAAGGTAGATGTTAATGTTTGTAGTTAAGTCTTTGTAGGGGAAATAATTACTGCAGGTTTAATAATCCTTAATACTAAAGGTTAAAATAAAATCATTAAAAAGAAAGTCTTTAACCTCTTAAACGTTTAATTAATACTCTCATACTGCATTGTTGTTTTAAAACGGCTGAATGTGATGAGCACCAGAGACGTTATTACATGTACACAGCCGATTTTATACATGACCGAAATCATGTTGTTTTCAGTAATCCATACAGTCCCTGAAACGTTCTACTTTCCCATTTTTCCGTTCGCTCACCATTCGTTCAGCGTGCGTTCACCGTTCGTTCAGCGTGCGTTCACCGTTCGCTCTCCGTTCACAGTTTTGCGTTCACCGTTTACCGTGCGCTCGCGTTCACCGTTCACAAAACGTTCACCGTTCGCTCTTCGTTCCGTTTAGTTTGCGTTCACCTTGCGTTCACCGTTCACTTATCGTTCAGTCTTTATTATCATTCGGAAGTGAAAGGACTTATCTTTTTGATGGTAAGGATTTACACGTTTTTTTAATTAAATGACTAAGATATCGTGTTTGAAGAATAATTATTTCAATGTAAAAAGTATCTACGATATATATATTTCTATTATTATAACTTAGCTGTTACTTTATCCATTTTTCCCTGGAAAAAATACATTAAGAAAATACATGTAAGTAGAACGATGCTAAAATATTAAATCTAAATAAGGGCAATGTCCCTAAACAAATACTTAAAGCGCGGCATTTCGTTATAATTAAAAGACGACAAAAATCGTTAATAGATGAATAATAATTAATCCAAGTCTTTTACAAGACAAGAGTACACAAAAAATATGTCTAACAAGTTTTTAAAGAAAAAATAAACAAAAACATGCTAGAACTATTTATATGTCTGAGAATTATGAATAGTACTACAGATATTCAGTTAATTAAATATTTGTAGAGCGAATTAATGTTAGTGTGATTTTAAATTTTAGAAAAGACAAACTGTTTAAAATTTAATACAATAGAATTTTTGGTTCTACATCACGTATATAGAGTGTATCATTACAAAGGAAAAAAACCTTCCTTCAAGTAACTAAATATACGTTTGCCATTCAGTATGATTAACACAGCCCCCCCCCCCCCCGGCACCCTTTCTCCCGAAATCAAATTCTTAGTTTGTATTTTCAGTATATATTAATTAATATTCAATGTGTATTGTACATGTAACACAGAAAAAAATATTCTTTATACAAACATCAAAACAGTCATTATATACATACATGTTCCGACATTGGTATTTTGATTTGGCAGGGATTATGTTTTAAATTCAATTTCAAACTTAATCCTTCCAGGTATATACATGTATTGCAATTATTTATTCATTTTTTTCCGTAGAAAAGCGAAAATCAATTTTAAAAATGATGTAAACAAAATGTTAAAACTTCTCGCGAATACGAAGTGACTCTTTGACTTCGGCATGTTCGGTGAAGCGAGATTTAAACACCTCCATTGTGTCGAATTATTTTGATTGACAGGACAAGCACGTGCACATGGAGTGAATCATTTGAACTTGAAGGGAAAAAAAACGATGCTTACTGTCAAATGGATTTGTTAATAAAAAAATGATTATTTTGACTGCCTGGAATGTTAGAAAAAAAATAATATATGAATTTTTATTCGATGCAACAAATCTCTCTCTCTCTCTCTCTCTCAAGTTTCTATCGCTTTTACATTTGTCATGTTAAATAAAAACTATGACAACATATTTATTATTTATTTAGTTTTGAAATTCTAATGTATTACAAATAATTTGAATGCTTCTATCCATTATCTTGTCCGAGTATAATCATGGTCGGGAAATGTCTTCAGATATACATTTACATGTAAAACTTAGCTTAAAAAATAACCAGACAAAATAAAAATAACTAATAAATATATAATATTATTGCATAAATATTTTTTAATACGAGTGAATGGTGCAATATGTCAACAGACCTTTATTAATTAATAAAAAAAAAATCGGTATTTTACACGGAATTGCCGTGACATCGAAATGTATATTATTTAGTTTTAATCTAATAATTCATTCTGTAAGTATAGTAGTTTTCTCTTCTGAAGTCAACATTTATTATTTTAATAGTCAAAAGAATAAGCAGATTTATTTTATTAGTAAATTAATTTTATCTTTCATACGACATTTGTTCGGTAACAAACACACATGTTTTACGGCAATAAAAATCGTGTTATTAAAATATTGATTTAAAACATCATACATATGTGCAGAAAAAATGTTTTAATTATTTATTCACTTATTAATTTATTGTTTATTTATATTTTAGCATCTAACATTAGAATATAACAGAATAATCTAAATGCAAGGAAAAAAACTGAGGCATTCCGAATAAATTGCTCATCTTGCGTTCACCGTTCGTTCACCGTTCACCGTTTGCGCTCCGTTCGCGTTCTGCGTTCACTCACCGTTCTCCGTTCACACATCGTTCACCAAGTTGCGTTCAGCGTTCACACACCGTTCGTTCACCGTTCGCTCTGCGTTGTTCACCGTTCGTTCAGCGTTCGCTCACCGTTCAAGTGGGAAAGTAGAACGTTTCAGGGACTGTAATCTTTGTTTGTACATGTAGATAAACCATGCACAAAATAATATTAGGTTGGAATGTTTTAAAGCTGTTCAAACAGATAGTATGAATTTGTATTAATTATAACATTTTAGCGATGTATCATGTTTGCCATTTTAACTTTCGGTTTATTGTGTATAACCTCATCAAACAATTTTATGAAAAGGTCGATAAACATATGTTCAAATGTTCAATCTGTTTAATTCTCAATCATGAAGTATTGTAGATAGTGGGACTGTAACTTACTGTTACAATGTATGCGAGCATCCGTAAATTCAAGAAGAAATTAGCACGAAGTATTCAAAGAAAATAAAGCAGATACGCGACACAGAAGAAAGGGGGGATTTTTTTCTATATTTTTTGTACAACATGAGAAGGTGTTCAACAAAAGAAAAAAAATGAAAAGCTCAAAAGGTCTTTTTTCAAAATATTCATTTTAAATCCACAGCTAAAACTAATTCCGGAAGAAGTGTCAAAATCAAATACAACATGTCGTATCTATAGAGAATACTTTGTTTTTATTTTTTTTTTAAACTAAACTTAACTATTTATCAATAACTGTTCACGTTTTATTTATATAAACGGCAGCGTTAACTGTCCCAACCTATTTAAAACCGTTAACATTGGATATTTAACTAAAAAAATAAAAACTTCCAAATTATTTATTCCGGGATTTTCTCATCCTATCAACAACTTATATGCCTTCAATCTTTTATAACACTGAAAATTTCCGACAAAATAAAAATTCGACCTACCTACAAAATGATGTTGTTTTTTAACCCAAATAGGGAGAAGGAAAACTAACTTCATTTTAAAAACGGACTTACGGGATTTTTTCATCCACCACTGGAAATCTTTTAAAAATACACACTGAATTGTGAAAAGGAGATATAACACAGATACTTGATGGAGAATAATTTTTTTTTACAAATAAACTACATCAAATTACACCCAAGAATCTGTCATGGTGTATAAATAAAACAACATCCTCCTGTTTTATTGCGGAGAGTTTCTCTTAACGTAGGTCGCGGGGTTACTGACCTTTTAAAATCGCTCGAAAACATACCCTGAAAATTTGTTACACGAATCCCCTAGTTTCATTTTATAGTTTCTGAAAATTTGATAAAAATTGTCTGCATCGTTTTCATGCAATTCACTCCCGAACATGCCATTGTTGACGCAAGCTTTTCAGCGTTATTCTATTGAATTATATAGAGAAAACGTATTTTTTAAACCCTTTTTCTGATAATACTTTTTATTAAAAAATATTAATATCTCTTAAATGGTGCAGACGAAATTATTGATTTTTTGCCCAAATCACATCGAGATTATTTGAATTAAATACATATAAAAAAAGTCATATGTATTCGGGCTCGTTTTCTCACAAATTAAATGTACATATTAACTTTTGAATGGCGAAAAAAGACAATTTTTAATGAAAAACGCTATACTAGCGCCCACGACGTCATGCTTGACGTCGCGTATATTTTCTGATTTACACTGCGTCAAATGGAAACAAGAAATAAAATCAAGTGAATAAAGAAAGAATCTTATGTATTAATATATTTTAATAAAGTGTATAAAGATATAAAATATATTTGATAGGGATTAAAGTGGGGGGTTAACATTTAAGCACTTTACAAGTTGACATAAATACGTGGACAATTTGATAATAGCTTGAAGATATTTTCTATTATCTGAATACGAAAGAAGTTTTGTTTGATAATGTCATAAAAATACATGTAACCATCATACACCTTGAATTATCGTTTTATCATTTTTATCAAATTCCAAATCCAAAAATGAAAAACGTCATGCTAATCCCATTAATAGGATTCATATCCTCGATCTACCAGTACATTACATCGATATGAACTCACTCTAAATTAGGATGTTGCTTGTGAAAAGTGCCGAGCTAGTTTTTCAGCAGCAATACTTATTTTTTTAATTTTCCCTTTCAGTACGTCCTTAAGCCCATCTACCCCTGCTCTATTAAATGTAAGTTGCACGTGTTTCACGGACAGTCCATGCGATGCTAAGCTTGAACACTGGGTCTTCGTCAAAACATTTTGGCTTATCAACTGGTCATAGCCGTCTAAATGTTTTTGTTTGTTTTGCACCTTTTTGATCTGAAGTGTGACATATTCGACAGAAAATGCAGATTGTCGGAGAGAATCTGAGGCGCTGGATATTTTCAGCAACATGTGGCGGAGTACCAGAACATCGTTAACAGCATTGTGGGCCTGGACTGGTGGCAGGTCTGCACCAAATTGTTGAACCAAATGCTGCAACTTGTAAGATGATTGACTGGGGAATGCCTTTTTGAAAATTTTAATGGAGTCTGAAAAACCGACAATACTTTTAAGATGATCGGTGATTCCGTGCCTGTTGAATGCAGATATCAAGATCCGAGAATCAAAACATGCATTGTGAGCCACGATGAGAACGGGGTCATACTTTTTCATCCACTCCACAAACTTTAACAGTGCCTCCTTTTCTCCCATGGATCGGACCGGTACCATGTCGGAGAACATGGTCAAACCATGCACTTCGATGCCTGTCAGTTTTGAAACCGTTTTAGGGATATAACCATTTTGAGGACGTATAAAACTGGAGAAGGTGTCGTCCGTACAATAGCTACTAGCAGCTATTTGGATGATGGAACTATCTGTCGCTGAAAGTAAAAAAAACCACTACTTTTTACCAAATTTATAGTAATTAAAGCTGGTAAAAAAAAGTTAACGTTAATCATGCAAACAAAAATGTTGCCTGCCCTGATAGTTTTAATTATTTATATATATTAATTACCTAAACCAGTGGTTTCCAGATCAGCAACAATGATATTAGATGTTTCAGAAGATAGAGGTGAAATTTTTGGTTTTCTTTCAGACATGGGAATTTCCGTGATAAGATCCTCTAACTCGTCATTTGTCGCTGACAACTCAATATCTGTGGCGTATGTAGTGCCTTCGCAGAGTTCCATTGTTGTCTCCGATGTTTGCCTCTGTTCCCGAAGTCTAAGACGTTCTATCTTTGCTTTGTAGGTACCTTGGAAATGGTGCTTTGTGGACCTTTTTTCATCCAGAAGGTTTTGTCTTTTTTCGGTTTGCTTCCCAGGAGACAAGTTGCATGCGGAATTAACCTTTTGAAGAAAAAGAAATAATGCAAAATCTTCCCCCAGCTTAAGATATTCATTTATATTTGAGATTTCATGTCTGCTGTAATATGGATTATTTCTTTTTGATTTAAAAAAAAAATGAATGTTAAATTTTTACACTCAAAATTCTGTCATGAATAACTTACATACTATTATACATAAGTGTTTTTACTCTTTGATTAATTTGATCGTTACAAAAGGGTCAGCCACCCTCTTCATTTATGAAACGGGAAATAATCCGCCCATTGCAATACATTTTATTAAAACATTAAAACAGCTTTACCTGCAAAATGTACTTGTGACCTTCGTTTTTTTGGGCAACAGCAGCGGCAACTCTGTAAGAAAGGCTTTCTGATCCTGAGTAGTGCTGAGCTTTAGGGGCCTTCTTTGCTATCATCTGATTTAAATTTTCGTTTGCGTTTGAAGATCCAAGATCTGTGTATTTTTCTGCTTTTTCAGCATGCTTCTGAAAAACATCCTGTAGGGCTTCTCTTAGTTTTTCTCCAACAAGATCTTTTCCGGAGGGCAGCGATTTATGTTTGTAAGTGCTTGGATCTTTAAGGAATCCACACCAACTGGAGTTACATTGACTGTGATCTCCGAATGCATGCGGAACTGTTGCATACAGGCTTTTTCGGATCCCCTCTACGTCATTTTTGTTTTGTTGAATTGTATACGCAAAACATTTCTTGAAGTATTTTATGGTTTTCACAGAAAGACCTCCATGGGTTTCTTTGACCTTATATAATGCGTTGGACAAATTCCGGACTACGTGGTTTTTATCGCTACTTTTTGTAATGTTTGGTACTGCCTTTTTAGTTCTCAAAAATGTAGTGCTGTCGTCACCCATGATAAGTTTTCGTACATCCAGGCCTTTTTCTTTCAAAGACTTGATGCACTTCACGGTTAGGAAAGGTTCCATGCCTTTAGCTGAACCGCTCCAGTTTTTTCTACAGCTGTGAGATTTACATAAGCCTCTTCCTCTCTTTCGATACTGGCATTTTCTACAAGACTTGCACGCCACACCATAAGAAAGGCACTTTTTTGTACTCTTCCCAACAACCGTTACATGTCCTTCAAAAAAAGTTATATCAAGCATTTAAATATGTTCGTGTGAGTTTATTGAAAAGGTATATATAAAAACAGTTTAAATGATGTGATTAAATGTTCGTTTTATCTTTTCTTATATTCTAGGCAAATAAATAAAACATAAATATATTAATAAAATATAATGTTTCACTTTGAAATTGGTAAAAAATTAAGCATTATTTAAGTTTTTTGTCGTTTTTTAACAATAAACATATGCACCCACTACCCCGTGACACAAAAAAAGCTTTGGTAGGAATTTGTTAAATAATAGTGCATATAAACTGTAAAAAGTAATCTTTGTGTCACGGGGGGGGGGGGGGGGGGGGGGGTTAAAATCTTTTCCTTTTATTTCTATAGTCAGTGAAAAATACAAGTTTTACCATTTTTAGAGTTATCTCTCTTTGCATTAACATAAAGAGATGGGTACCCTAAAGCATAACGGACAGACGAAGGACGGACACCCCCATCACTATAAACCGATGTTTATTATGTTGAAATTGAAATATTGAAAGGTACTCTCTATGGTCTGTGACAAGAAAATTCATACAAGTACATGTATTTAGAAAGCAAGTGGGAGGGGGGTGGGTGTATTGCTATTTAAACACCGCTTTTTGAATATCAAGTATTGACTTTAATTTCATATTTACCAGATAAACTATTATAATTGCGTCCTGTTCCTCTTTTCTGCCAGCCACCGTCGCATGAAACCTCTGCACCCTCGCTGCAACTTAGATCTGGAGCGCCTCCGCTGATGAAGAATTTTTTTTTTGATTAACTTTTGAAAATGCATGACATGATTACATGTATATCATGGAGAATAAATTTTAGAAATTTAACCCCTTTTTACATATATAGTTAACATGGTTAATATTATAAAAGAATTTCCCCAGTAGTATTTAATGATTTTTTGATTTTAGGCAATTTTTTCGGGGAGGGGGGTATGTTAAAGTATTTTGAATGTGTCAAGTAAATTTACCTATTAGAGCAAATGATTTCAGCCTGAATTGCAGCATTACAAGAATTCTCTGCGATATCCTCCATAACACACCCTATTTCTCTTTCCCGTTCTTTTAGAGTTTTGTGGTGAATAGAAGGAAGGTTAAGCTCTGCGAGGATATTGTTAACCTGCTGTTCACCAATACCAGCATGCAGCATTGCTATAATATCAAAAATAATCATCCCCCATTAACACCTGTCCAAAAACTAATATTTTTCTTTTTTACCAGTATCAATATTAAATGGTTGACAATTTTTTAAAAACTCTTTTTTATTTATTTATTATTTTTTTAGTCTTGTAAATACGTATTAAAAGTAAGTTTTAAATCTGTTGTAAACAGCACTATTACTACGCATTAAAGTCATATTGTTAGGGGGGTGGTTACCTGCAGCAAGCTTTGTATTAACGTCAAAGCATCTAGGGGGTCCTTTCCCATCCACATTCGTTGTGTGTCTCTTACCGGTAGGCACTGAATTCAAGTTGTTGCATTTTACACATTTTACGTACAGAATAGACGCCAATCCATACTTTGTCTCGTCAACACAAGCATCTAATCTTAAGTTTTCTTTGCAGAAAACGCACTCCTTCAAACCTTGAGCCAATACGCTTAGCTCTACTATTCTTCTCCCCTCGGCCCAGGAATCATTTTTGTCTTTTTGTTCATCTGTGCCTTTTTGCTCTTTCTTTCCATCATTTACGGAAGTGTTTTCCTTTCGTTTTAAATTTTCCAAGCGATTTTGTTTTCGCACAGAAATAAATTTTCCCTTGTGCTTCATGGCACCGAGCCGTTTTTTCATTTATGACGTTTACATATTTAAAAAATGACGTAGGCTTATAAAATTTGCGCCAAATCTTTAAATATATTTTGTTCCAATTTTCATTTTGTTAAAAAGAAATACTCAGTAATGTTTACCTCTCATTTATTGTCATGATGAACATGTGTGTAGTTGTTAAATTTTATTTATGAATTCTATATTTGTGTTCAATAAAAAAAAATTATTTCATCGAGACAATGAAAATATAACGCCTCAATTCATCATGTGCACATTCTAACACAACCACTAATAGATCGACCCTGTGACCGATAATAAGAATAACTGGAGAAAAAAATTATATATGTCGCTCGTATATAACATATATATTTGTAAATTTATAAATTCAAACGTCTATCTCTCTCTTTATCTCTCTTTCTCTCTCCCTGGAGGCAGAACAGTGAGGATCCAAGGGCTTACAAGCAAACATTGATATAGACTGATGTTTATAAACCAAAATATGAATTTTTTATTGCAAAACACTAGCCCTTGTTGTCATGAGTTATCAACAATACTTTCGGTATAAATGTATATAAATATATTTTTTTCAATTAACTACGGTTGTATTGATTCAATGATAACTGGATTTAAAAAAAAAATATTTTTTTCATTATGAAATATATTTCTTACATTTTAATTTATTTTGCATACTGAAAATCATTATTTAAAACTTTTGCTTCCTAAAATGTGACGTCATAATCAGATGTGCACAAGAAAGTCGCCCAAATCATATAAATTGCGTACCCAGTTTTAATGACGTCAGCAACCCCGCGACCTACGTTAAGGAGACGTTTTGACGTCGCATTTACCTTGTTGACTTTAGACCCGTCTTTTGACGTTACGTCATAATAGACATAAGGGAGGTTTTTGCTTGGCGCGTCACATATATTTAACAATTACTTTTACGTTATATTTCACCAAACTACATGTATATCATTTTGCCCTGCAAAAATCATTTTGCCCTGCAAAAGAGCAGTACCACAGTTATGGTATTAGGGTCTATTTAAGAAAAAATCAAAAAAACTAAACCAGGTCTACAGAGGAAGCTAATGCTAGCCGTTTGATTACTAAGGTATAAAAAGGTTCATTGGCCATTTTTGTTCAATTACTGGGTATAAACTATATCAGCAAAGCTGAAAGGGTCAGGGAAATAGGCACATAGGCGTCGGAAGCAAATTGAAAGGGGGTGGGTAATTGAAAGTGGGGGGGGGGGAGCTAAACAATTTAAAAAAGTAACCCCTAATTTTCAATGCCTATATTACCGTTATATCTATCTTTGCAAAAAAATTGTAAACATTTAAAAATAGCAAACTAAAATCTTACGCTAAAAATAAATATTGCCAATAAATTACTGAATATGCGTTATCCATTTGTCCAATTCAAGTTACGCAAAATAATTAAAAATCCTAAAAAAGCTGATTGAACAGTTTGAATAATGAAACGTTAGATTCAAACTCCTTATGTACTTTGCAACACTTGCAAAATGATTGAGATAATTTCAAATTCTTCAAATATATTATTATAATGTCATTAATAATGCTTACTTGGTTTCTGTTATCTACATGTAAGATTATATATTTTTAATTCAGTATTTGTTGTCAATTTCATGTGATTGAAATCTTCCCGGTATATATACCCGGTATATAATCATAAAATTATTCAGAAATGTATAAATAATAAAAACGTAAAACTATTCATTTATTCAAAATAAAGTAACCTTTATAATTACATGTAATTATGATTTTTGATTGAAAGGTCCGCTGGGTAGTGGAATCGGCTAATGCCCGTATAAAGAGGTGGAAGTACTTAGACAAGGTTCTCCCAACGAATCAAGTGCCTCATATTGGAGATTATATCAGAATCATTTGCGCCATTTCAAACAAGTTCCTCCCTCCACTATCATCAGGTATACATTAAAAACCGTGTCATGTAATACTACATGTATTCTATTATACATTTTTTGTCTATCAAAAAAATATACACTGTAAGTAAGGCCTATAAAATGTCATTCAGTGATCATTTTTCAAACCAAATTATCGTTGATTTCAGCTAATGAGGATGAGGTTGCGATGGCAGCAAAAATGTTACACCTCAGCCGTCAAGTAAACACATTGAAAGAACGTGTCGAGAGAGAAAATCTTAATAGCAGGAAAACAACGATGTGGACAAATGCGTCATCTATTCAGGATTTTCCAAAGCTCTCAGAGGAACAGCTTCGTGAAATAACATGTGGGACTTATCAACTCAAACTATCAAGGTTCTACATCCAGGAGCACCTAGAGGGAAATCAGGACATCCTTGTCCACAGAGAAGACCCCGACTTACTAAAGGTGAAAATGCAAAGTCGCCATGTATCATCCAAGTCTCATGTCTTGTGGATCTCTTACAATGAAGCTGAGGTATTTATAATTTATTTGTATTGCAAATGTAAAAATGACCTGTTAAATCAGTTAAACTATAGACTGATCATTATGTCAACAAATTGATCAATTTTATATTCAGGTAACAGCATGGTATTGTCTTTGCAAGACTGGTGCACGAGTGGTCAGGTGTGTGTGCACACGTTGCATCCATTCTCTGGTACCTTGGATATGCCAGGTACACACAGGATACAGACAATGTTGGTATAAAGAATTGGTCCGCTTACGTGAAAGATGCAGCCAGCCTTCCAGAAACGATAGACACATCCGATAGTGATGACAGTATAATTGAAGAATAAAAGCATTTCCCGTGTCATTTTTTCCTCTTTTACTTTTCTTTTACAAAGTCACATTTTATAACATGGTGATGACGTTTCTCTAATATACACTTTTTTAAAAATCTGATGCCACATAAGAGTAGGGCAAAAAGGAATGCATGTAAAGAATTTCTGCATAAAGTTATTAATTTATTACTCAAATTCGTTACAAGACCTTTCTCTATTCGAATCGGCAATATATATTATAAAAAAAAGAAGAAAGTGAGAAGTTATAGAAGCATCCCTATGAAATGAAAATGAGCGCCGAAAAGATCCAACATATAACGCCGTTAGTACATTCTTGTGGTACAACTGTAGACAAAAAGACACAAACTATTGTTGTGTTAATGTTAATATAATCATCAAATAAAATCAAATGAAATTTTAAAACAAAATTCAAAATAAAGAAGAGTAATGAATTTTGATTATTTAAGACTTTGTAGAGATCAACTTCGTAATATCATGGTAAAGTTGTCCTGAATGTAAGGTCAACGTCATGACGTTACAATACTCATTTGGAAAAAAAACAATACGATATTTAAATGACTGTAAAAGGAAAACTAGAAAAGATGTTATCAAAAAATAAATTGTTTTATGAACTATAAATCCTCTAGTATTATGTGAGAAAGTTTTATTTACTTTGGTGACTAGGCGGATTTTTGCACTTCGTGAACTTAGCTCTTTACACGGAATGTCACATAGACACAGACAAGATAAAATCAAGAATACAAAATATGCATGTTCAGACAGATGATGAAAGATTTGATACAGTGAGGTTGCATCCAACGAATCACCCCCATAACCGAACCACATTCAGATAAATATTCTATATTTTTCTTATCAAGGTCCAATTCTTAGCTTAACCTAATCTATCATGCTGTATTACTCCAAGGCGAATGGAACGTTGTACAGATGTTTAATAAAATTGTGTCTGAATGTACCAAAAGCGTCAAACAAGTTCTTAATCAGGGAATAATTTTATTAGCTATAAAGTTTTAGGTAGTTAGGTTTCCAATTAAGAATCACTGCTACACAAATTAGGTGTTGCAAGATTCATCTCAAAATTTTGATTTTTTTTCTAAGCGTTTTAACACCTGTTGCAATTTAAAGGACACAGGACATAAAAAATATTTTGTCTGCATTCAATGTCCTTAGCATTCGTAAGTCAGATTCTCACACTGAATCTGTTAAGCAAGCATCAGATAACAAGGCACAGCTTGATGCAGTAATCTATAAATACCAACCGATGCAGTTCTCCGAGCAATGCCGACAACTAATGAGATCAGAGTCACGTGGGCCATTTTTACTTCAGAGGTGAGCTTCCTGCAAATTCCCGCTTAATCTTAAACAAAACAATGGAAGAAGACTCGTCAGATGGATTTTCCCTTGCTCCTGAAGAAATTATACCCTGTAATTTTGAGCCTTTATTAAATCAAACTCAAGACAGCAATAGAAGTGAATCTGAAGATTCAGAGGGAGGTGGTTTGGAGGAGGAAAATGCAGTAGGGGTAATTGGAACTTGCAGGGAGAATTTAGCATGGTATGAAAATAAAACAAATATTTTACAAGTTTACATTTCAGATATGAAAACTTTTATTCACCTATCCATTATTAGCATTATTAATATATATATTTCATATATGTACAGTAAATATATAATTTGATTTACATTATAAGGTGTGTCTGTGAAAGGTGCCAAGTAATGGAAACAAATGAAGAATGTTTATGCTGCCATGAAATTGCACCCATTTTGGAAAAAGTAGAATTAAAGGAGTTAAAGTGTATCACAGAACATGATGGGTTTCAGGGAAATTGCCTCAATATTGACGTCCTGGAAGTTTCCATGTATGAGTTTGTAGACACCGATGGGCCCCTTGATGACAATGAGCCAATACATGAGTAAGATAATGTAAACACATAACTTTTCTTATAAAAGTTTTTGATTTTTTCCTTGAAACATGTCAAGTAAATTATGATATAGTATTTTCTTCATGGTTAATTTTATATTACAAATTATATAGATACTTGACCTACAGAAGATTCACTCGTTGGATCTGGCATATCCTAGGGAAAAAACGACGAAAAATTATCCCTGCTTGTGTGGTATCCAACATCAGACAGACATATCCATCTGAGTCGTATGCTGGTTTCAAATATCCACGTTAATGAAAATAATGATATGATGTCCACCTATCAATCTTTTATGAAACAAAACACATTTCCATTTTGAAACACAACACATTTTAAACTTTCACATTCCCACCAAAATTATCTGTTGTATCTAGATGTTCTTCTGTTAATCAGTTCATTTTTGTCAAAGTCTTCATACTCATGAGTCAGTTTTAAGGAAGGATAGTGTCTTCTTCTAACAAAAATCTTTTCCAGCAATTTTCCGACATATTCTGTGGAATCAAGAGAATACTAGTATAAGAATGAAAATCTTATAAGGAAAGCAAATACATGAAAGACTTAGTGATTGTTTTATTATTTCATTATAGATTTAATAGATATTTAT